CCCTCATGTGGTTCGGCCGTTTAGCAAAACCCTAAAATTAGACCTAAATTTGGCCATAAGATAATATCCTAATAAAATAAATAAGTATAATAGCTTATGTGCCAAATCTCCGACTGCAAAATGTAAGCAGAAGAAGAAACGCGTATATTCTATTGAAGCTTCTTGTTACCTTTTGATATGAAGAAATGAAGAGTAAATAATAATTTTATTTCCTAAAAAAAGGCATAAAAAGGTCTTATTCAAATTTTAAAACATGAATTATGGGTTGGTTTGCTGTAAATTTGGTAATTAGATGATATCTTTTGACTAAATGAGTGCACTAATAATCAAAATTGGTGCCTATTTATTCGATGGGTTATCTATTCTCCTTTGCACCAATTTGGTCTTCCCATCTGTTCAAAAGTTGAGAAAGTTTAGGGACTGTTTGACTAAACAGATACATGGATTGAATATTCGCGTGGGAGTACCCAAATTTAAGCGTTTGCCATATTTATTCACCATGCACAGTCAACATCATCATCATCACATGCATCACATTTTTGTTCTATAAATGACAAAACTAATTAATTTCCTTAAATTTAAGTATCAAACTTTAATTAGAGGAAAACATAAAGTTTAACTATATTTATAATTTACTTTATAGTTTGCTTCATCTTATTAAAATTAACTTTGATAGGCACAGAGGTGCATCTCATTGCAAAAATATAACTAATCACGATAATATTAAATTTATGAGTTAAAAAGTAAATATAAGGGCAAACATTATAATTATAAATAATCATATAAAAGTGAACGCGCGATGTTACAGGCTTGGAGTGGGTTAAATATCTTTTAGACATTTATTAAATAAAGGGAAATTACATACAAATAGGTATTTAAATTTTCCAATTTAAAAATCGCGTGTGAGATTTATTTAACCAAAAATTTGATGATCATAATAATAATAATAATAATAATAATAATAATAATAATATAAAATTAAATTAGTATACCCACGCCCACGCCCACGCCCATCCCCATCCCCATCCAACCCCACTCCCAATCCCTATCATCATTTTCCTCTCTTATCCTCCCTCTTTGATGACTTCTCTTATTCAGCGACTCTCTTCTTCAACAACTTATCTCCAACGCCGCACGCAGAGGTTCGACATAGCATCATAGCATTGTTGCATGCAACGACAAGTTCTCTTCTCCAGCAAACTTATTTCTAGCGCCGAACACAGAGGTTTGAAGTACCGGCATGTAGCTGAACGTGGCAGGGACTTATCTTCTTCGACAACTTATCTCCAGCGTTGCACGCAGTGACACCTCTGCGACGCTGTGGGTGGTTATCTCCGCGGCGTTGTGGATATTTTTTTTTTTTTTTGCGCTATGGGTAGTTTTATATGGGTGATTTTCTAGTTAATATCGATGAGTGATTTTCTGTTGGTGGTGGTTTGTGGGTGGTTATGACGATGGTTGTGCAGGTGGCAATAGTGATGGCAGTTGTGGCGGCGATGGTTGTGCGATGACGGTGGCAGTGGTGATGGTGATGGGATGCGTGTAGGTGGTTGTGGTGGTGGGGATTTTAGAGTATTTGTGAACAATTATTTGATTTTTGTGCTGGTGGCAATGGCGGCAACGATGGCCATGGCAGTGGGACGAAGAGGGTTTGTGACCAATTATTTGTGTTGTGACCAATAAATTGGTTAATTTTTGTGACCTAAAAGAATATGTGATTCTAACTAAATTTAGAATCATGACTTAGAATTTGGTAAGTTGTGACCAACTAATTCAATAATTTGTGATCAATTAATTTGATAATCTGTGAATGTAAAATAACTCGTAACTTATAAAATTTATGATTTGTTACCGACAAATAAATTGTGGTCTATAGAAATTTTCATTTGTGATCTATAAATTTTTTGATTTATGATCGAGAAATAATTTGTGATCAATTAATTTGATAATTTGTGAGCAAATTGTATAGGATTGTGACTTTAATATTTGTAATTAATAATTTTTTAAGTATTTATTTATCAATAAAATATAACTAAAAAGTTGACCAGCAAAAGACAAAACGTTATTTTGGGTCAAATTTGAAACTGAGCTGTAGCCCAATTTTTATGTACTTTGGTTCACCCTACATGCAAAATAGGTGGATATAATACGTCGGTAACTTGATGGAAAATTTGAAGATTAAAAAATTGTAGATGACATCAATAATTTCTCTATCAGCCATCAGAGACACAAGTATCACCAATGATTACAAACAACATTAACATCAATAATTGCCGACAAAGTCAGTAATAACCAATGACTTCAATCATCAATAGATATTAATTTCTATCATAGCTACCTACAATAATACTATCGTTAATCATCCATAGAATTTATCTTATTATTTGCATGCATATTTTCTTTAATTGGGGATTCTCAAGAAGTGTTCAAAATGTGGAAGCGGGAACTGGTTTGTCTGTGAATTGCAGAGCAGTGCACACTACAATTGGATGAGATGACATTGGAGAGCATTGTTTGAAAGATATTGCTCACGAGAATTTAGTTAATTGTTGGAAAAATAGTCGTCGATGGCCATAGCCTTGCTGGGTAGCTCCTGAAGCAAAAAAATGAACAATGGAAACTTGTGCAAAATAAAAATTGAAACAGTCGAACGTGATTTTAGATTTTGTAGATTACAAATCCTTTTAGAATGTAGCACAAAAAAGGAAACAAAAAAAATATGCCTATATATCAGCCCGTAATGTTTTAGCATTATAAATATTGCTATCTACTTGGTCGGCCACCAAATTGACACTATTAGTCCTCGGATGATTTAGTAACCACTACTGTCTTCCTCGCTTCATGCAAGACGGGCATTTGTATTGCTTTATGTTCTCAGCCTTAGCAGGAGTTATTTTTACACACTTCCCGTGGTACCACCGCTCACAGATGTCACAGCCAATCCAGAACTCATCTGCACTATACTTTCCCCCACAGCTTCCGCATAGTGTTTCGCTGTGTTCGTCTTCATCCTCCTCGTAACTCTCTTCTGCCAGTTTTGGATTGCTTTTCACCTGACCATCACTATATCTCTGCAAATAAGGACACGCACGTAATGCTCTAAAATTGTAAGATACAAAGGCAATCAAAGGTATAAATAAAGGAGTAAGGCAAGGGAACTACTATTGTTAGTTGCCAGTTCAAAGAAGCTCTGGGGTTGGGGGTTAGAAATCAACCCTCCGGTCATATTCCTGCCCTGGTTCAATATCTGACATTGCCAACGGCAAATATCATTGCCCACACATCCTAATTACGCTAATATTACTTTCACTGCCTTCCTTCTCAGGAAGGAAAGAGAGAAAAATCCTAGAAGGATTGATTTAATAGTAACATTGCTTATAATTCGTTTCTATCCTACCTTTGTACTGCCACGGGATTTATTTCCGCTGTCTGCATTGGGTTGGTCTCTCACCGGCTTCCTTTCAGTCACAACTTCAAATACTGTAGGCAGATCATTCACCAAGCTGAACAATCGCTTCCTGTAAGTACAGTACAAACCATTGGTACACTGTGAAGGCTGCACCGTTCAAAATGAAATGCACCTTGTTCGGTCCCAATCCCACACATATCCCACAAAAGAGAAAGTAAATAAAATCCTTTACAAAATTCTAACTGTACTAGGCATTAATTCACGTATGAGGATACCTAAATCCAATAAAAATCCGCCTCCATGCCCCCCAATACCTGGTGTCAGGTGTTCAAAATTCCATCCTTGTAAATGCCTCAATAAAATTCTATGCCTGCTCAGTACTGATGCTTAATGTCTTGACTGGAATTAAATGGCAACTACGGATAATTTCTGGTGCAATCAACTAACTATATGTGCCTCGGTAAACAGGTGAAAGGCAATGCTATCCTATTGTTCTAATTCATTTAAATTATTTCAATTCTTCAACTTTCTGAAGTTTTACGAGCAGTTGAGACAGTTTCACAACATACATATACTATTCTACAGCAAACGGGTTTGACTCAAAGAAAAAAGACATCAATTTCATGAACCAGATCACTTTTGATGCTTGTCATATTGATCAAAGTTACACTGGCAACAAATTTTTCTGCCACAAACTAAATCATAAGCTTTTGGTTTCCAGTCAAAGAATAGAAAATCTCCAAAGGAAGGAGAATTCGAGGCAATATTACTACTTTCGAGATTCATAACATCATATTGAGAATGAAGACTTGCGTGCACCTTTCCAAATCAGTGGTATGTCTACCTTTGACTTGTTCACAAAAGAAGTATGTAAGATCTCAAAATACAAAATTCAATCAGTCAAAGCTGGATATAACCCAAAATGTTGCACGTTTTCAGCTTTCATTTACTCAGTTTTCTCATACAATAAAGTTCAGACATCTGGAAACATAATCAGGACAAGGGAGAGTTTCAGGTTGCATTACCCAACACAAAAGCTAGCAACAAATTTAGAGGCTGCGTGATGTTGCTAAATGTTAAAGCTAATGGGTCCAATGAAATATGTGGTTAAAAAAGAAGTTTGACCACCCTTTTACGAACAAAAGCTTTACCAAACAAGCACTTAAAAAGTTAAAAATATGTAAAACCTGCTTAACATGAAGTTGAATTTCATCCACCAATTGTTGGTATAATTATACAACATTTCAGCAAGAATATATGACTGAAGCACGAGTCAACAATTTATAGGCACAGGTACTGACCGTCTTCTCTTAGGATGTGACTGAAGCACGAGAAACTAAAGACAGCAAAATAGAGGATATAGTTGAATATACTCATTATGTAGATAAAGCTCCAACAATCATTCACCCGATGATATTAAGTGACTTTCAATGTGAGATGAATTTTGGTGTCACATAAATCAGAGTTGTAAAACTTTTGACAAATTTGAAACCTTATGCATTTCCAAGGATAAAGATTTTTTTCTTGACCTACGCAAACCCATTTGAATGGTTCCTTTTTGTAAAAGTGTCGGTTCCAAAAGTCGTTGAACCAAATCAATCAATGCCTATCCTCCTCAGTTTAAAACAACTAGGAAAAAAATTCTCAAGCAGTTAAAACAGCATAAACAAATATGAGCTAAAATCATCATCCACACATCAGCAAACAATGACACGTGAATAATTATCATAAAAATGTAAAGTACCTTTCATTTCGGTTGAGCCGAGCACCAAGATAGAAAGACACGGAGAGCAACCAACAGTCACTGTGCACAGCAATTAGAGAAAGCCAATCTCTACGATTCATGCCATCCCTTGCAAAATTGATCCCAAGTGCCGGTTCCGGAAGCTCAGGCGGAACTTCCTCAGCTGGTAGATTGACTTCCCAAGTTTCATTTGGATGTCCATATAGACACAAATTCTCCTTCTCTATAAAATCAGTAAATCCCCCCCAAAAAAAGGAAGTGAAATAAACAGATTAAATTAACAATTACAGTTCACAAAATATTGAACTTACAGATGGGATGTATGCTAACTACAGCTATCTAAGATATTTTAGCTTTATCTATTTGTGTACCAAAAGAAATATATTACAGAAGCCGATAACTTAAATCTGACATTTATATTTAAATTCCAAAGAATTAGCGTCATAAAATTAGCTTTGCTGCGTAAAATTGAAGGAAAGAAACAGAACCCCAAGTTCTTTACCTTCATTCAAGAATTCAAATAACAAGTATAATGGTACCTTTCATTTAAAATCAATTGTATCAAAACATACGGATCAGAGTAAAGTAAAAGAAAAAAAAAAGATGTTAAATTTTCGAATAGTTTTGACTTAAATTAAACTTCAGAACAATTTTTTCCCTTAAAAAACCAATTTGAATAATTAGGAAAGGCAAAGACTACCAACTGTCTTCTTTCACATTTCTCAGTAACCAAAAAGCGGCTAATTCGACCTTTAAACTAACCATTCATCATTTAAAAAAATAAATATTAACAAAAAATTAAATTACTAGTTTTATTTAAGTGATGAAATTACTAGTTTTCAATATCCATTAAGCAATTAGTCCAAGTCAGAAACTCAAAAGTTTGATGTAACGAACAATTACTTCAAACTATATTTCACAAAAAAAGTAAAATAACGCAACTGGAAAAAAATTACCAGGATCGCATAGCCCATAAAATTCATCCACATCTGTAAAAACACCATCCCACACTCAGATATATATATAAATAAACTAATTGGCTGTAGGGACATATATTTTTGTGAGCGTATGTATTATATAAGCAATACAGATTTGTGAGTGCGAAAATATATAGAATATAAGGGGGTACCATCAGTTAAAGCACGAACGATTCCGGCACGACGAGCGCTGTAATCTTTGAAGATCTCCTCTACAGTTCGAAGATTTGAAGAAAATGAAGCCATTTCTGTATCAAAAATTATGAGATCTACAATTTATTGAGTAATTAATGATAATTTACAGATGAAGATTCAAAGAATCCTATGAATTGGAATTGCCGGGAGTAAGACGGGGAGAAATATTGTGCATGTTAACTTGAGATTAGAAAACAGATACGACGACACGCCGTCGTTTGGACCCTAAGAAAATGGAATTGACCTATTTGGAAAAATTTCTTAAAATTAAAATGGGCCTCATACTAACTTTCCGTGAACTGACCAATGGGGTTTCAGTAATAGTCACTGAACTTCTAAGAAGAATTCAATTGGGTCACTCATCTTTAGCTTGTCTCAATCAAATCACAGAAATTCAATTTAGGTTACTCGTCTTTTATTTGTCTCAATCAAAAAGAAGAAAGTTTGTCTAAATTCTATTATTAGAATAGAAAATTATGCTACTTTTTTTCTAACTTTTATAGGAATTTGAATCTACATAATTTTCTTCAATAGAATTTTGAATCTCGACCCATTTTCTGCGAACGGACTTGTGCGGTCTCAGTTTTAGTCACCGAACTTCCAAGATATTTCAAATTGGATGACACATCTTTATCACTTTTTGTTTACTTTCTGTTGTGTAAAATTAACGGCCTATTGAAATAAATAGCTTAAATCAGGTCATATATAAAATTTTGGGTTATTCGAAAAAATAAAATTGTCTCGATTGACAGCACTTGTTTATATTCAAACAAAATTTGCAAAAATGCTATTTGAACGTGGAAAAATCAATAATTTAACTGATTATAGTGAATCCAAAGCATATTACCTCATCACAAGTCAAGTGTGTCTATTCCAAGCATATTACCCGTAAATAACAGAGTGCAGTTTCCCCGACTGATCTAATTCAAAGATGCCTAGACTAGAAACAGTTCGAAATAAAATTTGTCACTCAGAAATTACCGATTTCAAATTCTACAGGCAAGCAATGACAAAAAGGAAAGAGCAAATAACTCTTCGACTGTCCCTCATTTAGATAACGACTTCTAAACAAAGGCCGCGGGTCATGGTGAGTCCAAAGATTTAGTTAACATGACAACCCCATCCCCATATCTGTGTCACTTGATGACAGGCCAATGCCAGCTGAACAATAGAGAATAAAGAAGCAAGAGCCCCTAATCTTAAACCTAGGCAAGGCTTAAATGCAAGAAGAAAAAATAGGCCAAACGTTAAAATTCAACACAAACCTTGGATTCTTACATCGCTTGATTATTATTCTTTACGCCAATGTGTCCCCTCTTTTCATCACCAACACAAGAATAGAAAAATTCGAATAGGACTAAAAGCTTGAGGTGCCAATCAATTGTCTCATGATTATCGAAGCAATAAATTGGCACAAAAGCAGACTCAATAAGAAAAGGATCACCAGCGTTTTCAATATTTAGATAAGATAAATAAACATTTAAAATAATGATGAAAACCCGGATCATCCCCCCATGCAATTTCTATCTCATAAAGGCCAAAAACAAATCCAGCTTAGTATTGCAGAGAGTAGTCTTCATGAAGATGTTAACAATCGCTTAATCCCTGTTTTCTGCTCGGACGTAAGCCTGCTAGGGAACTTAATGTTGAACTTGATTCGTAAGTTACCCTTTCTGCCGGGTTCCTTTGGGATGGGCATCCCTTCCCCTTTGACGACTTCTTCATAGGTGGGATTGACAATGGAATTGATGGGTATTGTTAAATTCCTTCCATCAAGCGTCGTCAATTGTGCAGTATATCCCGTCAGAGCTTCGACCAGAGAGATCTTCTGGGTGACAATTAGATCATTCCCGTCCCTCTTGAATACACTATGAGGCTTCTCGTCAATAATGAAAACTAAATCAGATGGTATATAACCTCGCATTTCATTTCCTTTCTCTGGAAAAGTTATTTTGGTTCCCTTCTTCCACCCGGACTTAATTTCAATTGTAAGAATTTCCTCCATAGTGGAGGGCCTCCTGCCAACAGAAGAATTATAAAAACATATAGCGGAAAGTATATACTCAATAGAAAACATGTAGTCCTAACATTGAATCGTGCAGACAAGCAAAGAGGGAGGAGAGTAGAAAAATGAATCAATAGTTAAAAATGAGCATTTCCAAGGAAGATATTTACATGTCATACATAAATGCACACTGTAGTTGGTCGCGCTACAAAAGACTTTTCATCCGAGGCATTCTACGTCAAAGATTCAAGGTCATTTAAAATTCTGCTGAGCCAAGTAGGAGTTCAAGAATGATATCCACCAATAGATATTAGTAAATATCAAGTACATGAAAAAAAAATCTAAAATTACTATTCATTTTGATTCCTCAAATCACCTATTTATTTCAATTTGGATCTAATGCAGAGAGAAAATAACTTTTTGAACGGTTTAGATCTTGATATACAGAATCAAGCTTTTCTCTAATACATTTTTTTCATCTTCGGCCAATCCATCAAACACGCCCTATGCAACCCCATCCCCCCAACCAGAAAAAAGTACGGATGTATCTGGCTTCCATTGTGTGTAGGTGCCCTACAGGGGTGAAACTACAATCTTCTCTCTTCCAATGTTCACTAACTTGGATGGGATCTCCATTAAATCTTACTGCTTTAACTAAGGAATTCAACAACTAGACTTTCAAACACTTTCCACAGGTTGATTTTCTATGTTGACCATGCACTTCAGGCAACACATGCACGCATGCGCAGAAAGAAATATTAATTGATTAGAGAATAACTAAAGTTAGGTCTTTGTTTTGGGGTTTTGAGAATGCATAGGTGGGATGTTGTTGGGTAGGTGGATGGGATAGCAACAGTTAAAGCACATAGATGAGTAAATTGAAAGATAGTTTTTTCCTCTACAGCACAAACACTTCAATTAGGGTAACGTGTCGCTCCTCGGACACACAGCCATGATCATTTTTTCATCAAAAATACTATATATTTTTAACCCAAGGATACTATCAAATAACAAATAGGTACTCATATTTAGAAAGTTTCGACCAGAAAAATTACCAACAAGTATAAAACTAAATTTATACTATATAAATGAAGAATTTTAAAAAATTTAATCAACGTATCAACAATATGCCTGTCAGTACTTTTTTGAAAAATAACGTATCGGCGTGTCGCATGTCTGACACACGTGTCCGTGCCGGTGCTTCATGGGTTTTTCCCATCTTAGTCTAAAGGGTTAATATACAAAAAATAAATTAGTCTACTTTTTGGAATAGCGACATTTATTGTGGGACATCTCGAAATGAAAAGTTAACAAACTAAGCCCCTGTTTGACAACCATTATTTCAAAACACTTTAATTCTCATACTCATTTTCAACCACACATTTACACAATAATATATTTTACGTGAACCTATGATTTTTCTCTACTATGTAACCACACATTATTCAAAAATCACTATTCATAACTTCATTTTCTCAAATTAATGGCCATCAAACAGGGACTAAGTGGGGTAGTATTTGTAGCGTAGCTTGTCGGCGTTGGCTTATTTTCAACCCACATTAATCGTTTGAGATTGCATTCCTAGTGTGAGAGATTTTCCTAATATTAGGGCAACTTAATTGAGACAATATTTTGTAGCAAAGCTTGCCAAGTCAAGTTCCTTACAACCCTAGGTGAAATAGTAGAGACTATTTTCCTGAAGAAGAAGATTAGATTACAAAAGTGTGCACTTAGGCTACATATAGCACACTGGATTAGACCGTAAAAGAAATTGTACACATAATTAGAGGAGATAATACTAGGGAAATAGTACTATGATAGATTAAGCAGAATAGTTTTTTAAAAAAATTATATTCAAAAGAATGATAATTTGCACTATCTTTCTTACCTAACCTAAACCCACCTCCTCTTTCCGTACTACGTTATCCAGTTAGCATAAAAAATACTGCAAACTACATTTTTTTAAATGAAAAACTAAAAACTACTCTCCATCAATCTACCTAAATACTATCTACAAGCATATCTACTCTAATTTTATATTTAGGGCATGTTCGGTCGTACTTAAAATTCAATTAAAATTGAAAATATAATCGTTATTGAGTCCCACTCGTCTAATAAAAGTCAACAATATCAGCTAATTTTTCAATTTTAATCCAATTTTAATCTACCAAACACGCCCTTAATTCCTTATACAGTCTAATTAAACAATAAACTCCTTGTACAATCTAATTTGGTGTACCAAACACAACCTTATTGTAAGCATAAATTTAGAAGGTGAGTAATAATTTATTTTCTTGTAATAATTGTTAATCGTTTAAGCTTAGGAAAATTTTCCATTTTCCATTTTAGTACATTGCCATTCTTGAATAGGAATTCAATATAGTTAAATAACCCACAGATTGATTTATGGTATTCACATGCATTGAATTTCTCTCTCCGGACTGCTCTTAAAAAATTCTCATGTTCTCATCTCTTTTTGCGTCAGCTAGTTGGCCAAATGTAGAGAAGCTTTGTTCAAACCTCAATCATAGGCTATTAGTGAAGTTCTTAAGTAGGTGTGACTAACAGTGCCCCATCCTTGTCCCATATTAAAAATTGAAAGCATACAGGATAATGAATCATCTTCCTGTGACATCATCTTTTCAGTCACAATCTTTCATATTTTAAATCTTCATCATGGCCATCACCCTGAATTGGCAGGGAAAAAGTCAAAAAAATTGCATAAAAGTTACTAATTTCTCAAAAGTCATCTGAAAGTAGAAAAAGTAGAGTGACGAAATAATATCGAGGGTTGATCCTCAAGATAATAGACTTAAATGCAGTATTTAGAAGTGTGTCCTATTATTTATTACTTCAAACAAAAATTCTTCAATAAACGAACACTTCGTGAAACACAACTGTGCATATGAGGTGTCCTTTATGGGCACCAAAATGCAAATAGGAGTTCAACTAGAACGATTCATAAGAATTATTTTCCAGTAGTTCCTCCAGAATTCTGATTTGCTGAAGGAGCAACAGATACAGAAAGAGGCGACAAACTTAAGGTACTGGTTGCATGCAACCTTTCATTTACATGGAAACAGAAAAAGAGAAAGCTTGGTCATGTGGACTATTGGAGAAATAAACTAATGCTTAAATCATATATCATATTATTCTGACACCAAGATACCCAACCAAACTTATTTTATTTAGCTGAGATTATTCTCTTAAAATTAGAGTACGCATGCATGGGGAACCTAAATACTCTTCCCACATTTCATACTGAGACTCCTTCATCTTCAACAGGCTTTTTCCAGTTTAGTGTTTGACTGAATGTTTTGGCAATTCTACCCTTGCAATCAAATTAAAATATTAGAACAAAGTTAAAACGGCTGCTTTCACAAAATAAATGCAAAATCCTGCTCGGTCATTATTCTCTCACACAAGGCACAACACCTCCATTCCACTCTCCAAACCACTATTACAATTTGCAGAAGGCGACCACTATAGAAATACCTGTAATTTTTGTAATTATCTTGCTAATTTACTGCCCTCTCTTCTTCTAAATGTCTATCAAGCACAAAATGAAACCAAAAACCTGGAAGGAGGAGAGATTCAAGTTCAGAAGTCCATCAATCCACTGAGTCGCCATCAAAAAAAAGGATGCCAAAATTGGTTCCAATGTATATAGATAGGATATATTGTTTCTCCAGAAAAGATCCTCCACCATATCCATTGTAGATCATATATCATTATTGTTCACCTAAAAATTATAAAATATACCTTCTCAAGTTAAACTTGAAAGATACATAAGAATTTCAGACAACATACCGCCATTTCCACTTATCCAGAGCAGCCGCAAACTTAAAATATGAATGCTTTTCTAACTTATTTCCACTATAATCTTCAAGTGCTGTCAAGTATATGCTCACTTAAAGAGAGAGAGAGAGAGAGAGAGAGAGAGAGAGAGGACTGTGGTGTTCAGGCCATATTAGAATAGAAGTTGGTGATAGTCAGGCCGCAGGAAGTGGTTTCAATGGTGCTTTCAATATGGAGAAGTTGAAGAAGAAGAGATTGCAGTTGTCATGGGGTGACCTAGTCACTAGGACCTTTCCTGTGGTGTGTCCGTCAAGGAGTAGGTTGTTCAGGAAGAAGCGGGATACACGAGCGAAAAGGTAGGGTGATAAGGCTGTACGGGGCTGAGTGCCTAGAGAGTAGGCTTGTGGGAATGAATAAGGAAGGCAATGATGCTGAAATAGTGGAGGGAGGTTAGCGATGGTGCGGGTGTCGAATTTTTCCAATGCATTAACAAGGGTCATTCTCAAAAGAATGTGGGGGTTAAAAGAAAGTTGATTCCAGTAAACGGACGTTATTTTGAAACAATCCAGAAATGAAAGGAGGGCTTTTATTTTGTTATGGAGGGAGTCATTAAGCCACAAAACCTAAGTACCTTGAGCTTTTGAAGTCTCCTTGCTAATGGGAAAAGGCAAATTTCATGAGACATAACACTTCCATAATGTCAAACCTTCAAAATCAATTTTAGTGAACAAAAACAGTCGACACATACAATTAAGACTAAACTTTTCATATATTACAATTAAAGGCTTTCTAACAGATGATCCACAATCATCGGACAAAGAAGAAAGATTCTGAATCTGCAGCAACTCTAGAAGAAAATGAATATGTCGTGTTTCCCGAGTTGGGCATATTTTTTACACACTATTCATATAGTAAAATAAGACAAGTATTCCTTTCCATAATAACTATACGAGTCTCCACTTGGACTACCCGTACGAAATTTAACTATATATGACGTCTCTTGACTATCTTGTTTTCCGAAAATAAAACTTAACTAAGGTATAGCATAACTATAACTGCACTGATACTATCCATCAATCAAGATTTTACCTTTCTATCAAACTGACTATCATTCAACTTTTATATATACCATCTATCTACAAATCCAACATTTTTATACTTAAAAAAGTGTACAGTGACAGAGGCTTACCCACTTGCATCCATAACATCCCTGGAAATCTTCATCTTCTTTGTAGTCCCCTTATACAAGTCCTCCAAACTGCACGGCAAGTTCCTCTCAATTGCAGCCGCCTTGCGCGGCATGCCACTCGAACCCCCTTCCCCTCCTGCAGCATTCCTAAATGAAGCAAATATATCATCCCCAAACATACTCCTCGTGAAACCTGATCCCCCGGCCCGTGACCCGCTTCCCATATCCCCCATTCCTCCAAACGGGCTAGAGGACCCGAAAAATTCAGAAAATATGTCATCTGCACTGCGAGGGTTGAAACGGAACATTGTTGGTCCCCCTCCATCCGACCCGCCAGTAAATCCACCCGCACCTGGCGGTGGCACCTGCCCCTTTAATCCTTCCTCTCCGAATTGATCATAAACTGCCCTCTTCTGTGGATCACTCAATACCTGCAATAATCCCACAAAAAAAAAATCAATTCTTTAAAAAAGTAATTCCTCTTTTTTCTTGTGGGTTGTAATAATATGAGCATAATTATGTGTGTAGAGTCTACTTACGTCGTAGGCTTCTGAGATTTGTTTGAATTTGGCTTCGGCATCTTTCTTGTTGTTAGGGTTTTTGTCGGGGTGCCACTTCATGGCGAGTTTCCGATAGGATTTTTTGAGGTCATCCTCTTTGGCATTTCGGTCCACCTGAAGAATCTTATAATAATCCACACCCATTTTTTTCTTCTTGCTTTCAAAATCTCTATGTTTTCTTGTTTACCGATTCCGAGGGACTTTCAGTTCTCTCATATCTTGTTTTTGACTTTTTTCCATGGAAGTATAAAATTACTGTTTATGGGTCGGGCCGACAAATCCAAACCTTAATCGAAATCATTCTTTAAAAGTTTTCGAATTTGACAAATTTTTGTTATTGAATTGGATTTTGAGGAAATTACACCCCCACCCTATTTTTAAAGATCACTATTCTAAAATCAAAAATGGGGTTTAATTATTCATATTTTAGGAAATAATTTAATTATTTATATTAATAATATTATTAATAAAATCTACCCACACCACCCCCACATTCCACATCTACGACACCTACTGCAAAAACCCTAACCCCATTTCAATATTTTCTCTTCCCCTTCACTCTTTGTCATTATCCCTTCTCTCTTTATTCCCATCCTATTCACCCATCGGAAGTTGTAGTGACGACATCCATCCATCCACTAGAAATCGCAACGGTGCTGCAAGCGTCGTGCACAGAAGCGTTCGACGTTGTGAGAGTCGCTGCGGGACGGTGCCCACACAGTCGTGCAGTAAAGCAACGAATTGCGCTCATAGGTGCTCTTGCTCACGACGCTCACACATCTGCATTTAGTGATGCTCCTTCTTGTGCAGCATTGGATGTTAAAGTGGCAGAGGTAAACAAGTTGTGGAGCTTGCAGAGGTAGGTGGCCGTCGGAGTGGTGGCGTCAAGGCATTTTAGCAGTGGTTGTTGTCATAGTTTACTACGAGTGTAGGTTGAGGCAAAAATGGGGCAGTGATGAATGGTGGTACTTTTAATAGCATAAATCGGTGATGAGAAGAAATAGATGTGGGTACTGTGGCTCATGATATTGGATCTTATTTTTTGTAGTGTTTGGGTGGTGGTGTTCATCGTGATTTTAGCTGAGGTGGTGAGGTTGCAGTGATTGAGGCAGTCCTGGTGAGGTGGTGGTCGTCGCGATCGTGGCAGTGATTGTGATGGAGTGGGTGAGGCATTTGTGATCAATTATTTGGTTGATTGTGACCAATAATTGGTTAACTTTTGATAAATTAATATTGTGTGACCTAAAAATTGTGACTGTGACTCACAATTTATTAAGTTATAATCGAGTTGTATCTGTGACCTATACTTTGATATTTTGTGACCATAAAATAAATTGTGTGACTTATAAATTTTGTGATTTGTTACCGATGAACAAAATGTAACTTATAAAATTTTTGAATTGTGACCAAATTGAATAGATGTGTGATATTTATATATTTATTAATTAAATATATAATTAATTAATTAAATCATAAATAAATTTTAGTGAAAACCTGATTTTTGAAATTTAAAACTTCTATCCTTAATTTTGAAATGTTGATATTTAAAAACTTGGCTTATGTATTGTTCCCTTGAATTTTCCTTATAAGTAGTTATATTATCTCTTTCTTTTTTTTCCTTGGGATTCTAAATTTATTTTGGACATGTTTGAGTCCTCATTTTTTGGTGTGTAAAATGTATTTTGAAATTGATGAAAAACGTGTGATTAAAAAATAAGAAAGTATTTTGAGTTGTGCGTCATATTATTTTATTAAAAATGTGTAGTTGAAAAAAAAGATCAAACAAGAGCATAAGATTTATAAAAATTAATATGGTTTTATGTTTTTTATGTGTTATTAGCACAAAAATGTCTCTATGATTAAAGTTTATTTTGCAAAATGTTCTCATTTTACATTTTTTTATATTTTCATCTCTATTTATACCTTTCGTTGTGAAAATCACAATTTTCATCCATTTTCTCAATTAAAAGTTGTGAAATGACAAATATACTCTCATATTTAAATAAAGTATAAAAAAATTAATTACAGCCATAATTCCATTTTTAAAAAAAAAAAATTAAAAATGAGTCACAAATACATAATTGAAAAAAAAAAAAAAAATCACTTTTTCTTCCCCCTCCTCTGTGCTCCTCCTTCATCGGCAGTGGAAACCCATAAATTATACTTCCAAGAATCTCCAAAAGCTCTCCAATTCCACTGTGCATCTCCAATTATGGAACCTGGAACCCATTTGGCCACCAATTCCATTGTGCAAAAATACTCCACTAATTCCACCCATTCTGCCCAGTATTTCTGCTGATATGGAGCAATGTGGGTTGTAATGATTGAAGATGTGCTGGTTTATCTCAAGAACAGGCCTGTGTTGGAAGCATTTGGTAGGTTCAATACGTTCTTCTATGGCTTAGTTGAAAAATTTATACTTGTGTAGCACGCATTTGAAAAATATAAATTAGATTTTTATACAAATCATACTATAATTAGTTATAAACTATAATAATCCAGATCATAAAGTTTATGAAATTCAGATTTCGAAAAGCTCTACATTTTAATAAAACCACGCATTCAATAGTCATTAAAAAAACACCCAAATATGAATGGGACGATTTGTGAATGAAAAATGTCACATTCCTATACACTCGTGCTCAACGTCATTAAATCCTTCCAATTTTATAAGCATCGTTTATGTAGTAATGAATGTGGTACCAATTTTCAAAGTTGAGTAATTAATGGGGACAATTTTTAAGTTCAGTGAGCATTTAGGGAATTAACCCGTCTTTTCTTTTTACCGTAACATTGTCACAAACTCTCTAATCCTTTCTACCTAATATGTCAGTTATGTTTGCTTATTGCTAGTTTTGTAATGATTTGCTTCGCCGAATGGTGCAGTCATGTGAATTCTGAAATGAACGTTTCCAAGAGCGGATTACCATATGCAGATTTTGTCCATCATTGACATTTCTAATACTCTCTTACATTCTCTACATCAGTTTTGACATCAGAGTTCTCCTACTCAAGCTTTTCTATGAATTTTTTTAAATAACACCAAAATTGATCGTGGAGGAAATTTTCAACTCTAGAAAAAACCTTCAAGCAAAGTTGTCATTAGAAAAGTTAATTTGTAATTAGTCCAAACACTGCTAAACTTTAGCTGACTCTGATCACCTAACTTGTAGATCACCAAAACCCCATTTGGTTGTGTACACCGGTACTTCTCAAAATTCTGAGCTACTTTTCTGTCCACGTGGATCAACAAGAACGAACCTCATCCTTAAGCGTCGGAACTCCAAGTGCCTCTTCCCAAAACTCTGAAAACTAATTAGCGAATGTAGAATTTTGTTTTAATGCCTGATCAAATGATCTTTTTTTTTTTTTTTTGATATGTAGGCTGATGGAAGAGATATTGAAATATATATTTAAATTTTAAAGAACAAACGCTTGACTTACAACAAGACTATAATTCTATTAATGATGGATCAATATATGGGATGAACAATGAACAATTTAATGTTGTGTTGAATTCAAAAAATCATTGAATGTGTTTGGATCTTCAATAATGTGATCTCCAAAGTAATATAATGATTCAACACAATTTGGAACGATCTATGGTTGCATATTTGTGATAGGGACTCTTTGGTTGTAATGAGATTGAAAATCAGTATTAAAATCAAAACATGATTTTGATCGGATAATATCGCTGCTTGAGCACTGATAGGCTCCAAGCAAGTGGCAGCTCACCGCACAAGCGATGGGTTGGCTCCAAGAGAGCGCCACCGTTTTGCTTCAATTTTTCTCTTAAACACTTGAGCGCCAAGTGAGCACGAAGCGAGCGGTGCTGAGTTCGTTTTTTGCTGTACTTCTTGAAACTCGAATCTTGATCTTCTTCTTATATGTCTTTGACTTCTTTTTTTGAACTCTATCAACCCCAACATATCTTTACTATAAGATTCAATCTTTTATTTTGACTTTGATCACAATTCGATTAACTCCAAATACAATTAAATTAAAACATGATTTTGACTAGAAAAATTGCCAATTATAATTTTGAAAATTGTTAATTATATAATTTGGACCTAACAGAATAACCGCAAACTACAAAACAAAGTGTAAAACTCGAAAATCTTTGGCTCTCAAAGAAACTAAAAAAGGGGACCGAAAACGAGGTGTGCGTTGGGGTGGAGGCATCGGGTTGTTGGCACTTGACTTCAAGATACGGATATATCGTTACTCAAAGCAAATCTCGAATTTATTATTATGCTAATCATTTATTGTATCACGTTTAAAAGATAGTAATTTCGTACGCATTTGGATGCATTTTCATATTTCAAGCAAGTAGTTGCACATCTCCTTACGGCTGCTGCCGTATAAATTGTTTTTATCTATGATCATATTCGAGCAATTATGTGTTACGACGTCGTTATCATGCAAACTAATGCTTATCTAATATCAAAATTAATAATTGGGACCAGCAATAAAATAATTTATTTTCCTTCATTTTATATTTATTAGTCGATCAATTAGTTAGTTAATTAAAACTTTTTTTTTTTCTAAGTTACTTATCCTGGATCATTATGCACAAGAGGTAAAAGATACGCCACACTTTTTTTTTTTTTTATAACCGTGGATGTTCGGGTCAGCTTGCGCGCACCTCGACTAATCCCACGGGACCCTGAAATTTACGGTCGGATACTCACCTCAGTAGACCTGAGAGAATTCGAACTAGATACGCCACACTTTTAAGTAAGGGTACGTTTGATTGTAACCATGAAATTTATTTGGAAAAAAATAAATTCCAAACAATTCAATTGTGTAGAACTTATTTGTATGGTCACGTGATCAAATGTTGGAAAATATTTTTCGTGAAAAAAATTGTAAATCAAACATCCAAAAAGTAAGAATTTGAATGAAAAAATGACATTTTTCATGAAAAATAAAGACAATTAAATATATTTTAATTTTCTTTTCAATTCTTTATAATACGGCTATGGACGTGGTTTCTATTTCTCTTGTTTCAAAAAACCAGGGGCCATTTTGTTTTTGTTTTTGTTTTTTTGTTTTACTTCATTCCTTGAGGAAGTTACGTACGCACTCAGACTGAATTAATTAATAATTAATTGGGCATTATCTTATCCATAAAAAAATCATAATATCATCATTTACAGTAATTGTAGATTAATCAGTAACAATAATTATTAATAATTAATCTTTTTGGTTTGATAATGAAGACCCCATCTCTTAAACACCCAGATTTATGCGTAAAGTAGACGCATTGAAAGACTATTGTCGGATAATTAATTGTATAACCTTAAAAGATGAAAATCGCTTAAAATAGTTGTCTATAAGTATACTCCAAAGGAGGAAAGATGTTCCTATATACACACACATGTTACAGAACTACTCATTTAAATTACGATACTTCAGATCTCGAGCCACTTAAATTACGATACCTTAACATCTAAGGTGATAAGAGAGAGAAACATAGTAGGTGAATATTTGGTGGGGATTAAAATTAGATTTTTAGTAGATTGTGATAGAAGTTTTTGAAATGTGTGGTTGAAAAGTTGCGAGACCCATTAAAGATATAGTTAATATTGATTATTTGACTTTTACTTAAATTAAAATCTGATTTTAATCCAAAACAAACAAGGCCTAGGTGTGTGATGTTAAGGTATTGCATTTTAAATAGCTTGAGGTCAGAAGTATCATGATCCGGACAGAGAATCTACTATGCTCATGTTTGGTAGGTTTAATTCAAGTCAAAGTCAACAATTAATTTTAATCACACATTTTATGTGACCCACAATTTTTTAATCACGTATTTCATTAAATTTTATTAAAATCTACTAAAAATTTTATTCCAATCCCCAGCAAACAGGGCATACGTGCATATACGACTCTTTCAGAAGCTTCACTCGCTGCAAAGGGATGCCAAAATGAATCATAATATCTAATTACCTCATTTAATTATTATTATAATTATTATTTTAGCTGAAAAGTTACCAGTAAAAAGTCTTAATCTTGAACATAACATTTCACAGAAAAGCTTGACTTTTCATCAACAAATTTGTTACATTAAACATTAATCTTCTTAATCTAGTCCTGATTACGATATTGTTTTTTCTCTTTTCTCATCATAATTATTTGTTGGATTGCAATTGTTTATAATATATTTCTTCTTGCTTCGTCGTGCAATCATTAGGTTAATTAGCGTGCATCTATAGTTAAGAACAAAATATTGAGTAACAAGTCACACTAATCTTTGTATATATCCTAAGGGGTGAGATGGATTATCGTTTTAAATATAAACACAAGAATTAATTTATAAAAATTTAAATTATCCATCCGAATAAAGATGAGAAGAGAAAACATATCTTGCACCTCACGTTTCAACAGGACAACAATTGAATTGAATATGAATTAACATTGTAAAGAGTCCGAAAAGTTCCACAAGTCATCCGTAGCTCGAACGGTGGGTTCAATAAAATCTGGACAATTATTTACATGCTCGAATGGATAGGTCTGGGCAATCTCCTTCCTCAACTATTAAAAGAGCCTTGTTGTGGCATTAGAAAAGAGCAGAAACTGAAGCGTGTTGTCCAAGTGAAAACTGACGAGTGAGCAGTGGCTGTGAGGTGTGATCCCACCACCTACCCCATCTTACCCTACTTTACCCAATCAACAAAAGAACCCAACTTCACAGAATTTCAAGCAAAACTCTTTATCGTCGGTTTAGGTCCATTCTTTGATTTCTCTATTTTCTTTTGTACATGAAATAAGTTGAAGATTTTTTAATTTTTTTTTTCTGGGTTTTGTTTATTTATTGTTGTATGTGGAGGACGCATTGTATCTGGGAATTTAAAGGGCTTTGTTAGAAGTTTAATTGATAAAGTAATTTGTTGTTGAGATGAGATTACTGTAAAAATAGGAAAATATTCAGTAATTGAATGGGAAGAAGAGTACTGGAAAAGGGCCCATGAGGAAGTCTTTTAAAGATTCTCTCAAAGCACTTGAAGCTGATATTCACCATGCTAATACCCTGTATGTTTTGTCTATTCAATCTCTTTTTGTCTCCATGTGCGTGTGATTCGTATTATTAGTGCTCTCGGGATTAGGGTTTCATAATCCAAAAAAGTTTTCATATTAATCGTAATTATAGGAATAAATTGTGCAAAAATATGATTTGTTTATTGCAAATTGTCATCTGCATATGATGTTGTAAATTGTAATCGCAGGATCAAAATCTGAATTGATAAGGTGAAATTGTAGAAATTGAAGCTATAACTCCTTGCTATCATTGTTCTGTTCTGTGATAGTATTCTTCTGAGATGCAGGGCTTCTGAATATCCAAGGGAATACGATGGCGCGTGCCTTCAGATGAGACTATCGTATAGTCCCTGCGCCCAAATTTTCCTTTTCCTTGTTCAATGGACTGATTGTCACCTTGCCGGTGTACTTGGGATGATTAGGATTCTTATATACAAGGTCATTCTTGTGCATATTGTATAATTTTAGTTCATTGTGTTCGATGAAAAATTGACGAGGGGATGGGAATTGCAGGCATACGAGGATGGTAAAACCACCATGTCTGTCCATGAACGAAAAGCTAATATAAGGGAGTTTTATGGTGAGTATATATGTCGAATCTGTTGTGTGAAAGCTATCGAAGTATAATAGGCGCATAGATTTTAGTCCTTGTGGTAGAGATGTCTTGTTTGGTAAGGTGTGCTCGTACTACAAGAAGTTAAAAATCTTGTTCATTACTACATACCAAACACTGCCTTATAGTTTCTTTTTTCGGGATGAATGGATTTAGTAATTTGGATTCTCATGGACCACCTCGACTGACTTTGATCAGGTGTGATATTCCCTTCTTTAATGCAACTTGAAAAAGGAATAACAGACATAGAAGATAGGAAACAGAGAGAACTCCGCTCTTCCAAATACCGAAGGAGAGACGAGATGGACAAGGGTAAGTTATCCGAAACTGAAATAGAGAGAGAAGAAGAATGTGGAATTTGTATGGAAATGAATACTAAGGTTGTCCTTCCCAGTTGCACTCATTCATTGTGTGTGAAGTGTTATACAGATTGGTAAGTATACTGAAACTAATTGTCTATCTTCACTAAAATTGTTGGTTATAACAGCAAAGCACGTTAAATTGATGTTGTTATTGTGGTTGCTTTAGGCATGCTCGATCTCGGTCGTGCCCTTTCTGTCGGGATAATCTCGAAAGAGTTAATTCCGACGAGCTTTGGATCTACCCTAGCAGTTCAGATATTGTAGATTTATCGACAATTGCACGGGAAAATCTGAAGAGGCTTTTAATGTACATCAAGAAATTGCCTCTTATTGTTCCAGATCGAACAATAGTTTCTTACGACCCTAATTTCCGATGAGGGATTGAAAGAACTGGACTGTGTTTTGTGCATAGGATTCATTTGACTGTATATGTTATCAGTTCAGTTTGTCCACTTTTCTTGTATGTATTGGCAATTGTAAGCGTGGACTTATTTATGTTACTTCAATTACAATTGATTCATTCTTGTTAATTTTTACTCGCCTTGAGGGTCATTAGTCTCAGAAAACAAAGAGAAAATGTGTACAACTGAGATCAATAGGTAGGGAACTTCTATTTGTGCCCAGTCTTAATTTGTATACATCCATTGAAGCTTGATTTATAAAGGGCAAAAAAGGGTGGGGGGATGGGAATTGCACGCTCCCTGGTTAAATTTTTTTCCCCTCATGTTATACTCATTGCAGTTCATATTTTCTTTGGTCCAATGGGGAATTTATGAAGACAGCCAATCAAAAGGGTAGTAAGACCTTGCAGGGTACATAAAGATTCAAGCTTCGGCAGCTGAAATCTGGTCAACTCTAGTCAATACTGAAAAATATTAAAGTTTTGAATGAAATCACGTTCGACTTCGAGAGAAGCCAAAATCAACACTTAGATATAAACAAGTTTCAAAAACGTCTAAAATCGAGTAAATAGTTCTAGAGACTAAGAAATCGCTTGTCGACATACTAGAAATCTTGCCTTATATTTTGGAGTGAGAATGCACCATGGATTCTACCTATGACTAACAAATCAATGGTTCATTAATAACTAAAGTGTGTGATATATAAATCCTCCAAATTTGTTGGGCAGTAAAAGAACTCTAAACAAACAAGCCGACACAGTATTGGGTGATTTGGCATGAGTTTAACTTAATACATATTACAGAATATACATACTGCAGCCGATCCATTTAAGACTCCAAACTTGAGCTAAAAGTACATACATAGATATCAGGTATCAACGCCATGGATCAAACAAAAAAGGCCCCAGGTTCGACTCCCAACCTCAATCATCATCGTCATCTTCTTCCTCCTCGTCCTCCTCCTCCCCGTCGTCATCCTCTTCCTCCTGCACAAATACAACCATCCAGATTTAGCTCCTGTTTAGTTCAGCTTAAATAGTACAATAAAAAATCTAAATCAAAGTCAACGTAACCATACATTCCAAGGGATTCACAACTTTTCAACCACATTTTTCATCAAATTTGATTAAAATCTAATTAAAATTTGATTTTTATCTAAACCAAATAGGGGCTTAGTCGACTGACAACAGGAATTTCGGCAAAAACTTCAAAGCAAGAATTTCTCCTTACATTGACACCTATCATAGTTAAGATAAAAAGCCCAAAGTCAGGGAAACTAGGCTACTTCCTAATATGGAGAACTCTTGACGAAGTTTCCTATTTGTTAAAAATGCGTGTAGAGGTTGTCATCTTATCAGACATCAAGTTTTTGAAGTTACTAAAAGCATCTGCATCGAAAAACTAATGCTTCTGCTGGCTTTTCGCCTGTTCAAATGCAATCTTCCTATCTAAGCCATTTCTACATCATATTATCATCCTCCATTCTTCCCAGCCAAATGAAACAGAATACAGCATATAGCTAAGAAGTTACATGCTGTCCACTATATACCTGCACACTCTCATCATCTTCATCATGAACTTCAGATTTCGATCTCTCAGATTCTTTGCCACCTTCATCAGCAGAGCTCTCCTGCCAATTAAATGCAAGATAATAAGGGATACCACCAATAAGAAGACCAAAAAGCAGTGTTGAACTGAAGATAACATAATATACAGAGAGAAATCTGCATCCGGCAGTAATTAGATGGGGAATTTACCTGCTTCTTGTTGTACCCATCCACAAGACTTCCATACTCGGCCTTTTTTTTCGCAGCTTTAGCTTCATATGGAGCTTTTTCCTGCCAACAAGGAAGAACATGGGATATAAATCATAACATAAAAACACCTCTTAACCATAATCGAGGTATCAACATAAATACATAGTCCCACAGAAAAACACAAGTCTAATTCGCCCTTGCTGAAGAAGCAACTGACAAACTCATAGCTGATTACTTAGGGTAGTCTGGCAAGGTTTTTATAAAAAATGGAGCTTATAAACTGGGATAAATGAATGGTGAAGTGGATAGTACTTGTGAATTCTGCGAAATGTGTAGATAAAAAGTGCTTTGATGAAAAGAATTTTTTGACCAAAGTATCAATAAACACCTAGAAACAGGTATCTGCACACACTCTTAAGGTCATAATTCATATGCTAAGTTCTTCAAACCCAGTAAAAATAATTTGTCTGTGGTCAAAGCATACAGAAATATAAGGGATTCAAACGCTTACAGCTGCACTCATGGATTTCCACTTCTCTCCACCAGCTTTCCCGACCTTCAGATGCAGATACTCAACATGAAATTTTTATTTTCCAAAACCGTAATCATAAATAAGGCATATAAAAAAGTTACAGAGAACACATACAGCTGCAACGCCCTTGACATCAGGATTTTCCTTCTTAAAAGTTTTCCTGAACTCCTCGCTACAATAAAAAGCATGACATAACTCAGACCAAGCTACAAACTATACAAGTATAACTCAACAGTCAACTCACAAGACCAGAAACTGGAGAACAGTATTTAGTACAGGAAGACAAAGAAGGCACTCGGGGGCCTCTTGGGTTTGTTTGGGTCTTTCTTAGCTGCCTTCCTCTTCATAGCTGGCTTTTTATCTGCCTCGACCACTGCCTTTCTCTTCCCCAACTTCCTAACAACAAAAAAATGCACAGAATCCATCACCATAAAGTTATTGCAATTGCAATATCCAGCATGAAATGCAAAATTATAATTAGCCACACTCAAAACTTGCTCACTCAACATCTAATCTTGACAACATAAGGTAAAACAGAGAATTCAGAAAATATATAGGACTTGTTCGGTAGCAATTAAAATCCAATTAAAATTGAAAATATAGTCGTTATTGGGTCTCACTCGTCTAACAAAAGTCAACAATAACGGCTAGTTTTTCAATTTTAATCCAATTTTAATCTCTACGAAACACACTAATAGTTGAGACATTGGTAACACGAAGTTTAACTCAAAAAATTCCGACCTGTAATCAACAGGCTTCAATGCTTCTTTTGTTTCCTTTCTCACAGTCCCTTTGCCCCTGCTGCCAGTCTTCATTGATTCCAGCACCTATACAATGGCAGATACTCGCATTAAAATAGCCATTTCACTACAGATTGACAAGGCAATTACAACACAATACAAATTACATGCATGAAATTTCGTTATCATATAGAACTATGCTTATATTTATGAAATCTGGGAATGGTGTTTATGTAACAGCATGCTGTGCTAATGAATAAAAATTTAGAAAAAGGACAGATAATAAATAATTGTTGGGTTAATAACTAGAAGCAAATCAGGAGAGAAGCTTTTTATACAAATAAAGTAAAAAATAAATAAAAATAACTAAAATAGATGTTCATCAATTAAACTATCTTTCAATTATCATCTTATATCTGCAAATTTTATTATGTAGAAATCTGGGAATGGTGTTTATGTAACAGCATGCTGTGCTAATGAATAAAAATTTAGAAAAAGGACAGATAATAAAAAATTGTTGGGTTAATAACTAGAAGCAAATCAGGAGAGTGTCACGGCTCGACTTCGATTTCAACTCCTTAATCACCGTAACTCACTGCAGCAGAAATCAGCTGAAACCAGCCGATGAATTGGCAGATGCAAAATTGAGAAGAGATGAGAGATAAGTTGAATTGAAGAATCAATCCACTAATAACTGAAATTTCATAACAATTCACGTGAATGATTTGCAGAGAATATATGGCATGTATATATATACACTCCAGCAGAGCAGAAAGCGTGATGGCAACAGAATTGGAAGACAAAAACGTGTTTAATTATTACAATTTAATTATATATGAAATGGCGCCGTTTCTGTAAGTACCAAAACGACACCATTTCCATTTTCGAAAATTAGTTAATTCTGTTTCCCAGGTTCTTCCTTCTGGTTTGCTGAGCTTCTTCTTCCCTTCTTTCTCCAAGTGCTTCCTCCATAACAATCCTTCTCCTCACCTTGATCTTGTCCCCAAGATCTACATATAGGAAATTGAAATTTAATCCATTCTGAGTCCTCCCAAGTTGCACTTTCTGGTGAAAAATCTGACCAATGTATAAGCTAATGGACTGCCAGATGATTTTTGCGCTGCACTGTTCGAGTTTGTAGAATAGAAATAGGCTGATGATCCGGATGTAAAGTCTGGTTTCGTTCAGGTAATTGCAATACTAGCATGATGTTATTTCCAAGCTGCTTCTTTAACAAGGACACATGGAAAATTGGGTGAATTTTCGACCCCTCTGGTAAGGCTAATTGGTAAGCCACTTCCCTAATTCTTTTAACAATCTGATACGGGCCAAAGTATCTAGCACTCAGTTTGTGATGAGATCTGCGTTCTACTGATTGTTAAGTATAAGGATGTAGCTTGAGGAAAACCCAATCTGCCTCTTCGAAGGATCTCTCTGTTCGATTCTTGTCAGCATAGAGTTTCATTCGAGCCCTTGCCTGTGATAGATTCTCCTTCAGTAATTGGTCTAGTTTATATCTTTCTTTAAGTAATTCGTCCACTGCAGCTACATTAGACTGTTGATAGGCCATAGTGCTAACTGAGGTGGTTTCATTCCATATAAAGCTTCAAACAGGGTCATTCTTATAGTAGTGTGATAAGTGGTGTTGTACCACCATTCAGCCAAAGCCAGCCAGTTTCCCAACTGTTTAGGTGCTAGTAAACCGTGCATCTCAAATACATTTTCAAGCATTGGTTAACCCTTTCAGTTTGCCCATCTGTTTGTGGGTGATAGGCGGTGCTGAAATGCAATTTAGTTCCTAGGAGATGAAAGAGCTCCAGCCAGAATTTGCTGGTGAAGACCTTATCTCTATCAGAGATTATACTTAGAGACATTCTGTGTAACTTGTAGATGTTGTCTAGGAAGAGTTGTGTCGCTGATGAGGCTGTAAAAGGGTATGTCATGGCTAGAAAATGTCCATATTTTGTAAATCGATCCACTACCACAATGAGGCTGTAAAAGGGTGTGTCATGGCTAGAACATGTCCATATTTTGTAAATCGATCCACTACCACCAGAATGGTGTTTCTTCCTCCAGAGTTGGGTAGTCCCTCAATGAAGTCCATGCTGATGTGGCTCCATGAGTGTAAGGGTTGAGGCAAGGGTTGCAGTAGTCCTGGGTAAGGAACGTGTTCTCCTTTGCATCTCTGACACACCTCACATTGTAGCACCACCTGTCTGATTTCTTGTGTCATTCTTAGCTAATAAAACAGTTGTTTTGCTCTATAGAAGCTACTATGAATACCCGAATGGCCTCCTTCAGGTGAACCATGCAGGTTCTGGATTAGTTTAGATCGAATATCTCCCCTTTACCTCCAACCTATAATTTTCCTTTATGCTTCAACAACCAATTTTCATAAGTGAAATCAGGATCAGAGTTTGGACTTATTAGTAGTGACTGGATCTTCTCTTCTGCCTTCATATCGTCCTTATAGCTTCCTATAACTTCTTCAATCCAGGCAGGTTTGACTACTATTATAAGTGAACATTCAGGATTCCCATCATGTCTCCTTGAGAGTGCATCAGCCACGACATTATCCACTCCCCTTTTATAAATAATCCCATAGTTGAGGCCAAGGAGCTTGGTGAGCCACTTCTGTTGGAGGGGAATTGTGATCCTTTGTTCAAGTAGGTACTTGAGTGCTTGGTGATCCGTCTTTACCACAAAGTGGTGGCCTTCTAAATATTGCCTTCACTTACATACCACAGTTACCAAGGCTAGTAACTCCTTCTCATAAATAGATAGCCCCATGTTTCTGACTCCAATTGCTTTACTCAAGTAGGCTAAAGGTCTTCTCCCTTACATTAATACTGCACCTATGCCCCCTTGATAGGCATCTGTTTCTATTATAAAGGTTGGCTGAAATCAGGGAAAGCCAACCCTGCGGTGGAACTCATTGCTTCTTTCAACAAAACAAAAGCTGACTCTACCGTTTCTGACCAATGGAAGTTATCCTTCTTAAGCAGGTCAGTGAGAGGTTTGGCTATGATTCCATAGCTTCTAACAGGTTTGGCTATGATTCCATAGCTTCTAACGAATTTCTTGTAGTAACCAATGAGGCCTAAGAACCCCCTTAACTGATTGATGTTCATTGGTTGAGGCCACTGCATCATTGCTTCAACCTTGATAGGGTCTACTGCCACCCCATGTTGGTTGATGATGTGCCCTAAATATTCAACCTGTTTTGGCCAAAACTGCACTTGGATCTTTTGGCATACAACTGATGTTTCAGTAAGATTTTGAGGACTGATCTGAGATGGTGGTAATGTGAATCTAGATCTTGACTGTAAACCAGAATATCATCGAAAAACACCCGCACATAATCCCTTAGCCGATCCTTAAAGACCTCATTCATGAGGCTCTTGAAAGTGGCAGGTGCATTGGTGAGGCCAAAAGGCATCACCCTAAATTCATATAAGCCTTGGTGAGTTTTGAAGGCGGTCTTATGGGTGTCAGCCTTTGTAACCTTGATTTGGTGGTACCCAACTCTGAGGTCAATTTTAGAATAGAACTTGGATCCATTCAACTCATCCAAAAGCTCATCAATCAGAGGCATGGGAAATTTATCTTTGATAGTAAGGTTGTTTAATTACCTGTAATCCACACAGAACCGCCATGATCCATCTTTCTTCTTGACTAAGAGGACTGGGTATGCAAAGGGGTTGTTGGTGTGCTTGTTTTTGCCACTGTCTAGCATTTCCTTAACTAGCTTTTCAACTTCAGATTTCTGTATGAAGGGGCATCTATACGGTCTAATCTTGAAGGGTTGAGCACCCTCCTTTAGATGTATATGGTGATCACAAGTTCGAGGAGGTGGCAACCTTTTTGGTTCCTCGAATAACACAAAAAATTGATTGACAACTTCAACGACTTGGTTTAGGATTTCATCTCCTTCTTTCTCAGTGATGTAGTACAAATGTCCAACAACTCCATATTGTTGCCCCTTGAATAAACTCCGTATTTCTTCCACCTCTATCATCATAACTTGAGGTTCTGCATTCTCACTTCTTAGCGTTATTTCCTCCCATTTGTGTTTGAATTGAACGTACCCTTGTTTGAAGTCGAATAGGATAGGTCCAAATTGACTCTTCCAGTTAACACCTAGCACCATATCACTACCTCCAAGTTCAAGGTTTCCATTTTATATTGGAACTCCCATTTGTGTACCTTCCAAACCAGTGGATGAATCAAAGTTTTACTCTCCAGTTTCTCACCATTTGCCACCCTCACTGTCATGGTTTTAGATCCTTCTATAAGATAGTTCAGCTCCTTAACCAGCCTCTCATCTATGGAACTATGAATGCTTCCACTATCTATTAAAATAGATATCCCCCTTCCTTTTAAAGTTCCTAGGATTCTGATGGTTTTGTGCCTTAGATTCCCAGCCAAGGTACTGATAGATATTTCTATGATCTCTTATTCATCTGATTCATTCTTCCTTTCTTCTTTAATTTCACCCTCCTCCTCTTCATCCACCAATATGAAGTTCAAAGCTCTATTCTTACAAACATGTCCTGTAGTGTATTTCTCATCACATTTGTAACACAGGCCCAGGTTTCTCTTGGTTTGAAAATCAGTAGGTGTGATGGTTTTATAGCTATTTGGTGGTTTATTCATTTTAGGCCATGGTTCCTTGGGTTTGGTCTCTTCAGGTGGTTTTGGGGGGTAAGGTTTCCACTTGTTAGAGGTGAAACTCTTAGATTATTGGTATTTGTTTATGGCTTGAATGGTTGATTCTTGCAAACTAGCCACTTCAAATGCTTTGGCTAGGGTATTTTGTTTCATCATCTTCACGACTTCACCATAGATTTAATCTCCCCTCTCAATCAACTTTTAAATACAGCAATATAATAAGATTCAGGAACATGTGGTAGAGCTAACATCACTTGTGATTTAAGCTCTTCAAATTTCTCCAGGTATTCATCTATGGAACCAAATTGTTTGATCTTGCTGAAGATCTCTACTACTTCTTCTCCAGTGGTTTCTGCAAACCTCTTGCAAAGTTCCTCAGAAAACAAACTCCAACTAGCTCTCAGGTGGTTGGCTATGAATTCATCAGACCAAATATCAGCCTTTCCTTTCAGGTACATTTCTGGCACTCCTACTCTAAGTTCATCTGGGTCCTGATGTAGTTGAAAATATTTCCTGGCTTTCCTCAGCCATTCCCTAGGGCCTTTTCCGCCAAAATGAGGAAAATCAATCTTAGACAGCCTAGTATTCCCCTTCAATTCCCCTTTGGAAATTACACTAGCCTCCATGCTACTGGCTGCTGGTGTGTAATTTTCAATTCCAAGCTTCCCTTCAATTATGGATTCTAACATTCATTTGTTCTTTTGATTATTTTTCAAATTAGTAGAGATTTGAGCCCTAAATGCAACCACCCTCTCATACTTTTTGTTCAATTCTAGCACCGTATCTTCTATTTTCTCTTGCCTATTACTCGAACCAGAAGAGATTCAAGCCTATTTCTAGCCTTCCAGTAATCACTTTAAAACTCGTACCCAAATATGCCACTGCGAGATCCAATTTTTTCAGATGCTCATCCATTACTTTAGACCTCGAATCCATTTCTATCAATTACCCAATAATATACGCCTACTCTGATACCTATTTGTCACGACTCGACTTCAATTTCAGCTTCTTCCTCACCGTAACTCACTGTAACAGAATTCAAATTAAGCCAGCTGAATGAATCAACTCTTCCACGAAGAAAAAAAATAGGGTGGGAAAAAATGTTGAAAAATTAAGAAGGGATTAGAGATAAAATGAATTGCAAATTCAATCCACTAATAGCTAAATTCCATGACCAAATTCACACGGATTGCACAGAGTATACGCATATATATACACTCCAGCAGAAAACGTGTTTTGCCCAATATAAATGAAAAAACAAATGACTTCAATTATTACATTTTAATTGAAACAAAACGACACCGTTTCGGTTGAGATAAAACGACGCCGTCCCCAAATTCAAATGTTAGGTATTTCCGTTTATTCCTCCTCTTCCTTCTTTTCTTCTAGCTTTGCTGAGGACCTCTTCCCTTTGTTTCTTTTTCCTTTCCTAATTCCTAAATAAACGAATTTCTCTTTAATTTATTATAATATGCACTCATCAAAAATTATAGTAGATGAATGCATAATCTACGTTCACAAATCGAAATTCATTCATCACAAATCAGAAATATAATTTGAAATTCTACAATCAAATAATGATTGAACTTTAGAGAAAGCAAAGTAAAACTGGCCTTTGGACAGTGCTTGGCTATTGGTGGTGGGAGATGGGTGGAATGGCGGTGGCCCGCATGGCGAAATTGCGACAGGGACAGACCAGGTTGAATCGAACGAAGTTAAATTGAACAAGGATGAATCGCGGGGGATAATCGAATTATGAGGCTGAATCGAATTATGGGGCCGAATCACAACCCCGAGCAGTGGAAATGTAGGTTGGAAGGTTTTTTGCAAAAGGGGTGTCAATTCCAAGTGTTCCTCACGGTAGAGGATTTTGCAGGAGGAGGAAATGGGATTATAAAATGTAAATATGATGTTTTGTTTGAAAAAATAAAATTAAGTTGGTGGATTACGAAAATGGCAATGCTGCACTAGACGCCATTTATGCTTCTTGTTGCGAGGTGCGGCGATGATGAAGGCGAGGATGAGAGACGATGATGAGCGACAGTGATGAAGCGGCCATGGGATGGGCGGGTGAAAAGTCTAGATTTGGGTTTGTAGAATTGGGCTGATACTATGGATAGACTATAAACAATTTGGACGGGTTAACGTAAAAAAAATATTAAAAAAAATCAGTGATTTGTTCGATGGAAGAAAAATAGTTTGATAATAAATTAAATTAAATAGAATAACGATAAAAAAAATTTGTTGAACGTTAGTTTGATTGATTTAAAAATTAAACTAAAACTCTGATATAATATACATGCAGAGGTGTCAAGACGGACGGGCTGACCCGTGACCCGTGCAGGCAGTTTACGGGCCAAAGAGTTGTGACCCACGGGTTTCGCAGGTTTAGGCTTCACGGCCCGCAGTTAACGCGGCCCGCGAAAGAAAAAAAAATACTAAAAATTTTGAAAAAAAATGGGGGAGAGAGCCGTTCAACGGCTCTCTCCCAGCAGGCTAAGCCTGCAGCAAGCAGCCTGCAATTTTTAATGTTTTTTTATTTTTTTTGTAAATCACAAAGTTGTAAAGGTAATAATATTTTCAACATCTATAAATTCAATTAATTGGTAGTATTAGTTCACTTCACTTTCAGTAGTGACTGGATCTTCTCTTCTGCCTTCATATCGTCCTTATAGCTTCCTATAACTTCTTCAATCCAGGCAGGTTTGACTACTATTATAAGTGAACATTCAGGATTCCCATCATGTCTCCTTGAGAGTGCATCAGCCACGACATTATCCACTCCCCTTTTATAAATAATCCCATAGTTGAGGCCAAGGAGCTTGGTGAGCCACTTCTGTTGGAGGGGAGTTGTGATCCTTTGTTCAAGTAGGTACTTGAGTGCTTGGTGATCCGTCTTTACCACAAAGTGGTGGCCTTCTAAATATTGCCTTCACTTACATACCACAGTTACCAAGGCTAGTAACTCCTTCTCATAAATAGATAGCCCCATGTTTCTGACTCCAATTGCTTTACTCAAGTAGGCTAAAGGTCTTCTCCCTTACATTAATACTGCACCTATGCCCCCTTGATAGGCATCTGTTTCTATTATAAAGGTTGGCTGAAATCAGGGAAAGCCAACCCTGCGGTGGAACTCATTGCTTCTTTCAACAAAACAAAAGCTGACTCTACCGTTTCTGACCAATGGAAGTTATCCTTCTTAAGCAGGTCAGTGAGAGGTTTGGCTATGATTCCATAGCTTCTAACAGGTTTGGCTATGATTCCATAGCTTCTAACGAATTTCTTGTAGTAACCAATGAGGCCTAAGAACCCCCTTAACTGATTGATGTTCATTGGTTGAGGCCACTGCATCATTGCTTCAACCTTGATAGGGTCTACTGCCACCCCATGTTGGTTGATGATGTGCCCTAAATATTCAACCTGTTTTGGCCAAAACTGCACTTGGATCTTTTGGCATACAACTGATGTTTCAGTAAGATTTTGAGGACTGATCTGAGATGGTGGTAATGTGAATCTAGATCTTGACTGTAAACCAGAATATCATCGAAAAACACCCGCACATAATCCCTTAGCCGATCCTTAAAGACCTCATTCATGAGGCTCTTGAAAGTGGCAGGTGCATTGGTGAGGCCAAAAGGCATCACCCTAAATTCATATAAGCCTTGGTGAGTTTTGAAGGCGGTCTTATGGGTGTCAGCCTTTGTAACCTTGATTTGGTGGTACCCAACTCTGAGGTCAATTTTAGAATAGAACTTGGATCCATTCAACTCATCCAAAAGCTCATCAATCAGAGGCATGGGAAATTTATCTTTGATAGTGAGGTTGTTTAACTGCTTGTAGTCTACATAAAATCGCCATGATCCATCTTTCTTCTTGACTAATAGAACTGGAGATGCAAAGGGGCTATTGCTGTGTTTGATTATGTCACTATCCAGCATTTCCTTAACCAGCTTTTCAATTTCAAAATTCTGGATGAAGGGGCATCTATATGGTCTTATCTTGAAAGGTTAGGCACCTTCCTTCAGGGGTATGTGGTGATCATGGGTTCGAGGAGGTGGTAATCCTTTTTGTTCCTCAAATACTACAGAAAACTAATCAACAACTTCAGTGATTTGGCCTGCGATCTCTTCTCCTTTCTCAGTGATGGCATACAATTGTCCCATAACTCCATACTTCCGCCTTCTGAATAAATTGCTTCTCTTCCACTTCCATCATCATTACCTGAGGCTCTGTATTTTCACATCTTAGTGATATCTCTTCCTGTTCATGTTTGAACTTAATATACCCTTGTTTGAAATCGAATGTGATAGGCCCAAATTGATTCCTCCAGTTAACACCCAGCACCACATCACTGCCTCCTAACTTCAAGGTTCTCATCCTATACTGGAATTCCCAATTGTGCACCTTCCAAACCAGTGGTTGAATCAAGGCTTTACTCTCCAGTTTTTCACCATTAGCCACCCTCACTGTCATGTAGTCTCCTGTATAGTATAGTTCAGCTCCTTGGCCAGCCTCTCATCTATGAGGCTATGAGTGCTCCCACTATCTACTAAAATAGATATGTTCCTTCCCTTAGTAGTTCCTGGAATTCTGATAGTTCTGTGCCTTGGGTTTCCAGCTAAGGCACTGATAGATATTTCCATCACCTCTTCTTCATCTGATTCAGGTTCCCTCTCCTCTTTAGTTTCATCCTCCTCTTCATCCACCAATATGAAATTCAATACTCTATTTTTACACACATGCCCAACCGTGTATTTCTCATCACATTTGTAACACAGCCCCAAGTTTCTCTTGGTTTGGAAGTCAGTAGGTGTGATTGTTTTATAATTATTTGGTGGTTTAGTCGTTTTTGGCCATGGTTCTTTGGGTTTGGTTTCTTCAAGTGGTTTTGGGGGGTAAAGGTACTACTTGTTAGGTGTGAAACTCTTAGGTTTTCGGTATTTGTTTATGGCTTGAATGGTAGATTCCTGTAGGCTAGCCACCTCAAATGCTTCAGCCAGTGTGTTTGATTTCATCATCTTTACCATAGATTTAATCTCTCCTCTCAATCCACTAGTAAATACAGCAATATAATAAGATTCAGGGACATGTGGTAAGGCTACCATTACCTGTGACTTGAGTTCTTCGAATTTCTCCTGATATTCTTCTATGGAGCCCAGTTGTTTGCTCTTATTGTATATCTCTACTACTTCCTCTCCAGTAGTTTCTGCAAACCTCTTGCACAATTCTTCTGAAAACAAATTCCAACTAGCCCCTGGGTGACTGGCTATGAATCCATCAAACCAGATATCAGCATTCCCCCTCAGGTACATCTTTGCCACTCCCACTCTCAGTTCATCTGGGACCTGATGCAGTTGGAAATATTTCCTGGCTTTCCTTAGCCACTCCCCAGGACCTTTTCCGCCAAAATGAGGGAAGTCTATCTTAGGCAGCCTAGTGTTCCCCATCAGTTCACCTCTGGTAATAACACTAGCCTCCATACTGCTGGCTCCTGGTGCGTAAGTCTCACTCGCAAACTTCAAATCACCCATAGATTCCTCCATCCCTTTGTTCTTCTGATTGGTTCTCAAATCAGTAGAAATTTGGGCCATAAATGCAACAACCTTCTCGTATTTTTTGTTCAAATCCAACACAGCATCTTCTATTTTCTCCTGCCTACTAGCCAATACTTGAAGAGTTTGGTATGTAGATTCAAGTTTATTTTCCAATCTGCCAGTAACAACCTTAAAACTTGTACCCAAATCTGCCACTTCGAGATCTAATTTCTTCAAATGTTCATCCATTGCTTTTGACCTTCTATCCATTTCAAGTAATCACCCAGTAATATATGCCTGCTCTGATACCAATTTGTCACGGCTCGACTTCGATTTCAGCTCCTTCCTCACCGTAACTCACTGCAAGAGAAACCAGCTAATGAATTGGCAGCTCAACAAAAGGGCAAAACAGAGGGGGGGGGGGGAGACGATGCAAAATTGAGAAGAGATGAGAGATAAGAAATTTCATAACAATTCACGTGAATGATCAGCAGAGAATATATGGCATGTATATATATACACTCCAGCAGAGTTGAAAGCGCGATGGCAAGAGAATTGGAAGACAAAAATGTGTTCAATTATCACAATTTAATTATATATGAAACGATGCCGTTTCTGTAAGTACCAAAACGAAACCGTTTCCATTTTCGAAAATTAGTTAATTTTGTTTCCCAGGTTCTTCCTTCTTCCCTTCTTTCCCCAAGTGGTTCCTCCATAACAGAGAGAAGGTTTTTATACAAATAAAGTAAGCAATAAATAAAAATAACTAAAATCGATGTTCATCAATTAAACTATCTTTCAATTATCATCTTACATCTGCAAATTTTATCATGTAGAAGCAATTCAACGTACAAAAAAATCTTCAGAGATGCAACATAAATTCACATATAAAATAAAAGAACTTCTGTTCAAATATGAATTACTATCCAGAGAATAACAAATAGAAACAAAATAAAAACCAAATTAGAGCATAGATATTTTCCAAGAATATACTCTAAAAATAGATAAAAATTCTTGAAACCCAAAAACGCCCAATATTATGTTAAGAATTTGAAAAAGAAGTTCGATAATTTCTAAATACAACTTAAAAATTTATTTTGACAAAAATACTTTCGCAGATTAACAAAAAATAAGGTGGTACCTTGAATATAGCAAGTGATCGGTGATCGACGAGTCGAGAGAAGAAGAATCTAAAGCGACTAGAGTGAGAATAGTACGACTGAGTTAAAGAGAGAACGTGTATTTGATTTAAGTCACCGGACTAGCCGGTCATGGCCTGTTTTGGTGAGAGGTAATTTGCGCCAAAAAAAAATTAAGAACTCAAGGAGCGTTTGGTAGTTGAACTTAATTTTTAGAATTACTTATTTTGGTAATTGTTAGAAATTTAAGATTACAATGAGTACATGTTTCGAAAACAGTTTTAAGTAGATTAGGGGCCGTTCTCTTTGTGTTTCAATTTTGTGTTTTGTGTTCATTTTGTATTTTGAGTTTTGAGTGTCTGTTTTGAAGTTTCTGAAAATGCGTTCTTTTTGTCATTCTGAAAAACTGTTTTGAGAAATATGAAAATGGAAAACGCGTTTACTTTGAAATTTTGAGAATATTTTTTTAATAATATTTTATTCAAGAAATATGATTATTCAATAAATTTTAATAGTTTAATATTAATATAATATTAAATAACATATAAAATTTGAAGTTAGTGAATTTTGAAGTATTTGTTTCCAAATTTGAAGTTAGTGAATCTTGAAGTATTTGTTTCCAGTATCCACTTCAAGTTTCTGAACCTCTGCATCAAACACACTGCGAATCCACTCCAAGTCCCATCACAAATGTTCAACAAAAAGGCTGAGTGACTCAATAATTTTTCACCCACACTATTTCTAGTTTTATTTCGTTTTGCCCCCACTATATTCAAGCACAACATTAAATTCAGCTAATGCATTTATTCAAATACAAACGAACAAAACCACCGATAACTTGACATGATTCAATTGGCACGACCATACCGACCCGACTTGACCCACTACTATAACATTAGCCATCCAAGAACTGAGATAAAAACAAACATATAATGTCACTAAATTTCAAAACCTAAAGGCCAGCATAACGGCTTAAAATGAAGAAATTCCAGGGGACAAAAAAGATGAATGGTTAATGCAATGCTCATCAAACTTATAAGTACAGCCTGCCAAAATATATGCACCAGTTTTCAGAATTGTGAGCAAAGACTGGGTATATTAAAGGGAAGGAATCAAACTAACAAATACCAAGGCCACAAAAGACAGACCAGTTGATATTGCAAAAGATATTAAACATTTATAGTATCAGCAACACTTGGCTCGGCCACATAAACCTGCTGGAAACACCTCTCAAATGCAGCATCTTTCTCCACATATTTCCTGTACTCCTCCAGAGTTGTAGAGCCAATGCACCGCAGCTGACCTCTTGCAAGCATAGGCTTAAAGAGATTAGCAGCATCCATTGGATCCCTCAGTGCGCCCAGCACCTAACACCAGATGAATTTCATCAATAAATAGAAATACTTTGCCATCATCTCCACCACCTGCAAAAACATCACCCATGGAAGAAGTGCAAACTCCAGCAACTGCAGATGCCCCACCACAAATATCATCAAAAAATACAGAAGACTTGCTTTTGCCACCATCTCCACCACCACTTGCACAAACACCACCTATTGCAGCAGCTCAAACTTCAGAAACTGGAGAGGTCATCCTAAAAAATGAGGAAACGAAGAGATCGGAAAATGATAGAAAATATGTATGGGCAGGCAACTATAGGCCCTTTTATTTGCAAGATTTTCTATGCAATCGAAGAATAGCACTTTGGCTACAAGATGTGGTAAGCATATTTCTCACTTTTCTTATGTTTTTGACCTTTTTCACTACAACAAAAAGGATTGATAGTAAATGTTGAAAATTTCTAGCATAAAGATAATTCTTAAAAATTTCTATTTGTCACCGTTCTATATACCATCGACCATAAAAATGTAGCCAACACCAGATACTCACTATACCATTCACTGACACTATTGCATAGAAATCCATCAACATAAGGTCAAGTTTAATTATTCTGTTATATAACTCAAAATTAGGTAGCTAAAATCAAGTTGCTCTTCATTAACATAGAAAACACATAGAAGAAGTCACAAAATTAAGTTATAACCAAATATGTATTTACCTTGAATAAGAACTGGTGAAATATCAATATGGGCATTATTGTGTGTCAAAGGTAGATGTCCTTCCCACGTTTATAATTTCTTATACATTGATATTGTATATTATATAATCTTATCATATAGGAATGGACTTTGTAATCCAAAGTGTCTTCAAGTGCTGTAAAGCTCAATAAAATTCTTTGAGTATCCTGGATTGATGTCCAAGCAACACTTTTGACATGAATTTTAGAGATTTATATCTTTTTATTTATTATCAACAGGCAAGGGAGGAGTGCAAGGAATTTTATTTGAAGGTGCACTCCATGTTTATATTTACATAATTAAGTGCATGGATAGAAGCTACACTATATTCTCTTCTCCAAATCAATGTATAAATGGCATGCAAAAACATGACAGCTTTTCGTTGTGAAGCTCCAGCAATTAAAGCTCCCATGTCCAACGCTATAAGCCTCACATCAACAAGATTGCTCAGGACATCACCACTAACAATTCTTTGAGCCAATCCCTCAACCACCGCAGTTTTACCAACTCCAAGCTCTCCAATGAGGACAGGGTTATTCTTAGTCCTAGAAAGAATCCTAATAACTCTTCGGATTTCTTCATCTCTGCCAATTACGGGGTCAAGTTTTCAAGCCTGCTCAACAAGTTCACGCCCATAGGTCTTAAGAGCTTGGAACGACGAATCCCCAGAAGCACTCTCCACCTTCCTTGGCATAAATGATACAGTTGAGGCCCACTAGTAATCTACAAAATTACTAATTTCTAGTCCAAAGCTACGCACACACAACGCCTCCATTATATATCTCGAGATGAAAATCAATGCCCACCCTCTCTCTACACGCAGCTTCCCCAATTATAAATTGTATGTAAAGCAATAAACAAAATTTCTTATTGTCTCATAGTAAATGAAATTCAATGAGAATCGAACGACCAATTGTTAGTTCATAAATTCACAAAGTAAGCATGCAAAAAGGTCAAATTTGAGTTAGCATCACAAGAAACAGGCGGAATTACAAGTGATCAAGTGTTCAACCGCTGAAATTAAACTAGGGCTTAAAAAAAGAGCAAATTCCATCAAATCAATTATCAAATTTAATACATAAATTGAAAAATTGCGATGGTGATGAAGATTAAAAAGGTGGAATGCGTTTACCCTTTAATTGGAATCAGAAGCGGCGATCTAAATTGCGGAATCGTAGTTAATGATGGGACAAATAATTGGTGAATTTACCTTGTCATTAAGAAGGATTTGTCCAACGTAATCGTCGTCTTCACCACAGCAAATCACTCCTTGGAAAGAGACTGCTCTATTGTTTTGGCAGAAGAAGGAATGGTGGTGGGTTGGAAATGGAAAATGTCGTTTCCCGTGTTTTGGAGTTTTTGGCTTGAAAACTCCAAAACGATGTTTCTGTCATTTTGCGTTTTGTGTTGAAATTTTTTTTCATTTTCAAAAACGCGTTTTCAAAAATAGGAAAGAGAACGTGTTTTCACTGTTTTCAAAAATCGAAAACAGAAAACGACCCAAAAATGGCAAAGAGAACGCAACCTTATTTTCTTGATAGTTCTCATACTTTTCTCTTATTTTTTTCATAATCATTGCACCCATATCCTTTCTTGTGTTTTATTTAAAAAATTCTTCGTATTGTGTATGAGCTCGTAAATAAAATGTATAAAATTCTCTGTGGACAAATTTCTATCAATTTTCAGTGACATTTTATACTCAAAACTATATCATTGATCACCCAAGACTTGATCAATTTTTTTTTACTAAATAGTCACATTTTAGAGGAGAGAGAACAATGTCAATTTTTTGCAAATATTGATAAAATGGTAAGCCTTATATGTAAAATTGTCACTTTACTCCTTTATGCGAGAAAAATATCGATACACAATTTTTTAGACGAACAAGTGCAGGACTCCAAGACAAGCCATCAAGCAACATTCTATTACCCACATGACAAAATATCAACATCCATTCACTTTTCTTGATCGATTAGTATTTCACTTGAATGAGAATGACATAAAATTTGTACATTTATTTGTCTGGTTCTTTTAAAAATGCAATTGAAATTAATTTTCCTCGTTATTTATCAAGATAGTTCATGCTTTCGTAGTTTAAAATTGTTGCAAATAGGAATAAGAAATGAGCATGTCGACTAGGGTGGTCTATGGCCAACCTGAGAAAAGTTCAAGCCAACCCAACTAGAGGCTTGAGCCAAGCCCAAATTTCGGAACTTGGTCCAAGCCTGACCGATCCTTGTGGCTCGTCGAGCTGCACGGACCGACTAGCGACACGACCAAAAATCCTTATGGGCCATTTTTGTAAACGAAATATTTTATTCGTGTACAATTTTCACTCCATCTACATTATTTGTAGTCGGTTTTAAGCCTGAAAAAGGAGGAGAATTGTAATTTTTATTCAATCTACAATGAGTATAAATTGCACAATATTTACATGGTTAAAAAGAATTTAGAATTTAACGCGCTTTAAAAAATATGAGCCGGCTCGGTTTGGTGATGCCCGGGTGAAGCCTCAAAAATTCAACTTGGACTTTGGCTCAGCTCGTGCGAAAAGGCCCGAGCTTTTTTTTTGGCGGGGTAGTGAGTCGGCTCGGCTCGATCCGACTCGTTGATACCCCTAATTGCAATAGATAAAAATTTGTGATCATAATTGCAAAAGTCTTTGCGACGGTTCTTTTCTGTAATTGTCTCGATACACAATTGTAACATGAATCGATAAAAAAGAGACAAATGCGTTAGCCATTTCCTGCCATTTCCCACGGAGACGCAGAAAAAGCATTTTTCCATCATTTGATTAGAGAAATTTTTCTTATTCTCTCCACGCAAACACATCACATTGCGTGGCACAAAGACAATTGGGAAGAACGGCTGGGGAGGGTGGTACCGTGAGGTGCCGGTTTCGTTGTTCATCGATGGAAGAGGAATATATTTAACGGACGGAGAAATCGCATCCTTACATGAAACGAAAAGAAGATATCGTAATGAGAAGTGGCGACACATGGAATACACATCTAAGCCTTTTGGGGTTGGTCAATTTGGATAATTTTAAAATGAATTATACTCCTTGTACACTCCTTGTGTACATGAAGTTTGACACTCCTTTGCAAATTCAAAAATGGAGTGGCAGAAAAGTGTATTGTATTTTTAAACTAGTCAATCGTGCTGCAACATGTGACACAATGTCAAACTTGATGTCAAAAACAATGTACTTGTAGCATGATTGTTTTAAAATTTGATAGTTTAAACAAATTATTAATTATGAGTAATTACATAATTATTATAAGCAGAGATGTAAAACTGTAGGAAAAATATATATTTGATAAAAATATTTTAGATAATGTATTAATGAATTCTAATTTTTAAATATAAATTAGGCGTGATAATTTTAATCGAAATCGAACATCTCAAATTAGAATCGGTAGTTCATGTCTGCTTCCAAAAAAATTAATAATTGAAATCAAAAATCGATTTGAGTTCTAGGAATTCTTGGTTCTTGAATCAAAATCACGAGTACCAATTATAGAACCATTTTTTTTTTCATAATTTTTTATATATAATTTATTCTCTCGGATCCAATGACCTGATGTGATGCAAAGGAAACTATGGGATAGAAAGAAAAATTGACAATGTTGATTAGTTATGTCTGAATTAACCAACTTATGCATTTTTTTAGCATTTGTAAAATTTAATACCTATTGTTGGGAGGTTCAATCCTACTTATCCCTAGAAGCAACGATTATGCACAAATTGAAGTTTTTATCGTCCAACTAATGGCCACACATGTCCACGTGTAGGGGTATCGTCGAGTCGAATCGCGAGCCGAAACTTTTTGCTCGGGCTCGGATCGAGTAAAAATACTTCATGCATTTTTTTGGCCCGAGCCGAGCAAGAGCTTCGCCAAAAATTTAGTCTCGACCCGAGCTTTGGGCTCCATTTTTACTTTTTTAAATTCGTGACTAATCTAATTTTTTTTTTTAAAGAATTTAAAATTTGTACAATATATACGTGTTATAAATAATAACTAAATATTAACATATACAAAAAAATTACAGCTAAGATAAAAAGGAAAAAAAAAAAAATTTGGCAGTCAAATATTTTATTTTTTTTTAGGCTTACAGGCGTGGCCGGCTCGAGCCGAAGTCACAAAAATGGGGCTCGGCCCCACCGAGCCAAGAGCCGGCCCAAGCCCAGCTCAGGTTTTTTCGGGTCGAGTCCAAAATCAAAAATCGATTAGAGTTCTAGGGATTCATGGTTCTTGAATCGAAATCGTGAGTACCGATTATAGAACCATTTTTTTTTTTCATAAATTTTTTATATAATTTATTCTCTCTAATCCAATGACCTGATGTGATGCAAAGGAAACTATGGGATGGAAAGAAAAATTGACAATGTTGATTAGTTATGTTTGAATCAACCAACTTATGCTTTTTTTAGCATTTGTAAAATTTAATACATATTGTTGGGACGTTCCATCCTACTTCCCTACTATAGTAAAAGAGTGAACTTGTCGATTATTGTTCATTCTTGAAGCTTTTTTTAATCCCAATTTACCTATATCCATCATCTACTATTCATATAAGGCTTAACGGTGATTTGGACTCATTCCTACCACATGCCCACAATTGTTGACTTTCTACATTTCCCAGCAGCACAAAAAAAAAAAAATCCTTAGATGAGCAATTGCTCCGCATTTGTACGGAGCATCACTCCGCGCAATGCAGAGCTTTTTTTTTATATACACAATAGAAACAATAATATACGGTAAGCACATAGCCAAAAAAAAAAAAAAAATCATTTTATCTTATATATTTCAAAATTGTACAATACATTTAAAAATAACATTAACCAAATTTACAAACACTTATTTTTAAATTTAGGTGATAACATTTGCTTACATTTTACATAAACTAAATAAAATTTCATTTATTAATAATTTAATTCAAAAACACTAAAAAAATTATAAAAGCTCACAATTGTTTACAAATCAGAATTCTTTTCGAGGGCGTTGCCCCCTCGACCCTCGACCCCTAGTACCTGACTGGGCAGGTCGATCCCCGTCAGGGGCTTTGCCCCTGAACCCCAAACCTGATCGGGCAGGTCGTTCCCGTCGGGGGTGTTGCCCCCGAACCCCCCACAAGGGGCGTTGTCCTCTCGACTTTGAATCTCTTATTGCTTGTTGGGCAATTTACCATTTATTGTTCATTTGTGAAGCTTTTTTTCCCATAAGCAATGCACTGTTTACTTGATTAGTATTCAAAATAACTTTCTTTCTTGTTCAGTGAAGCTCAAAACTTGAAGGATTCTCTTATCTGCGCAGAAGTCAAAAGTCAAACCTACATTTGCATTTCCTTGGCATTATGATTATCGGATAATATTTTTGCTCCTTTGTTTTCCACTAAACTTTCTTGCTTGTTCAGTGGGTATTATAAATATTTTGGTACAGAGCACAAATATGAGTTGTCAAACGTTAGCAAGCTTAAAAAGATTAATATTGTCCCCATTAAATTCTTCCTTGGAAAAAAAATTTGGCTACCAAAAACTTTTCATTTAAATCTTACTAGAATATTATCATTATGAAATTTTACTAATTATTATATTACATAATAACTTACTGAACTTTCACAATAATTTAAGCTTTCCATTAATATTTGATACACTAACATTATCTTAAAAATAACAAAACACGTACATTGTACGGGC